AAAAGGAAGCTTCCTTTTTCTTTTTACTATAATAGTGTTACCAACAAAAATATCTACCCTTTCAGAGCAGGACAGTGAGGCTTTATGGGATCCATCCAGATAATTCAATTGCATCAAGAGTCAGATTTGCAGATGATTTTGCTTTCTGCCTTTTAGAGGAGAATTCTTGTCACTTCTAAACGGGGGAAAGTTAGAATTATGTCTGAATAGACAGCCTGAAGTTGCACTTATTATTAAGCTGCAATTAAGCCCACTGAAAGGGAGTCACTATAGATTTCTGACATCACCCACTCCCCTGGAAGTGAGATCCTTCCTCCACAGCAGATTCCTTCCTTTTATGAGAGTACTTGCTTTGCCCTTTTAGTGGACAGTTTCCCCAATCATTGGCAAGCAGTAAAGCAAAGCATGACACAGAGGGGAAATGAATGCCTTCCTATCTGACAATGCAGCTGGCCTGAGAACCTAGTGGCTTAAAAAAAAAAACTCAATTACATGTTTAAACAGCTGCTCTTGGAAGAAATTATGTGTGTGTGTGTGTATGTATGTATGTATGTATATGTGTGTGTATGTATGTATGTATATATATGTATTTGTGTGTGTGTGTGTGTGTGTATAAAATTATATATTATATATTTCTGAAGATAGGTCAATTTCCCTGCTTAGCTTTTACAAGCCCCTCCCTCTTTTAATCATCAATTTATAATTTTTAATAAGAATGAAGAATGTGGATGAGGAGCAATTTTTCTCTTGCCCTGGAAGTGTTTGTCTGAAAGTCCTGTTGTATTGGATCATTGTTTCAAAAATGTTCTTGGATGGTATCGATTGTGCTTTGAAGCAAATCTAAACCTCAACATGCTGGCCTGATTATTGAGAGATGGTGATGATGATCCTGAAAAAATGTGCATGTGGCAAGCAGGTTGGGGGAGGGGGATGAGAAAGGATGGAGGGGGAGAAATGGCAATATAATGTTCCATTTTTCCCTTTCTAGTTTTACAAGCTGCTTTAAACCACCTTTGCTAGAGCCTGACTCCATCATCCCAGTGTTTGATTTGACATGTAAATGCAAGCAGGTTGGCTTTCATCCTTTCTTTCTTTCCACAAGGAGACCTATGATAGATGTTTTTGTCTTTCAGGGGAGAAGCCTTTTAAATGCGAGTTTGATGGCTGCGACAGGAAGTTTGCCAATAGCAGTGACAGAAAGAAACACTCCCATGTCCACACCAGTGACAAGCCATATTTCTGCAAAGTCAGAGGCTGTGATAAATCCTACACTCACCCCAGCTCTTTGCGAAAACACATGAAGATCCACTGCAAATCCCCACCACCTTCTCCTATCCCAGGATCTCATGGGTACCAGCCCGTGGGGACAACCTTGGGTGCCCCTCTTTCCCCACTTCAGGACTCAGGAAGGGGTCAGCCTACCAGCCTTTCTCCTCAGGTCACCAATCTCAATGAATGGTACGTTTGCCAGGCCAGTGGGGTGGCCAACCACCTCCATACCCCATCCAGTAACGCCACCTCTTCTGAGGAGGAAGATGAGGAGGAAGAGACCTACGGGAACTCTGAGTCAAGAACTATTCACTAGAACTCTCGAATGGCATACACATGTGCCATTTTTTTTCACTTGGTCTATTTATTAACTAAATGAAACCCTATGGTGTTTGTATATGTAATTAATTTAAGTCATTGGACTTATCTCTTTTTTATTTTATTAAAAAGAAGAATCTTTTTTTTAAAACCAATTTGGATTTAAAGAATGACCCAACACGCATTACTTTTCTGACCCTCAGCCCCACCAGTCTATAAGGATAAAAGGAGAGATTCAAGGCATAGCTTGATTTGCAGTTTATGCGCAGCCAGTTTGACAGTCCCATGAAAATGTTTTCCAAAATAAAGCCAGAAATGTGGTTTATGATTGCAGTATAAGTGAATGGATGCTCTTGATGCCAGGAGTAAGCTTTATAAGCTTTGAAAGATTTATTCCGCTCTACATTTGTCATTTGTTAAACTGCCAATTGTTTTTTTCCCCCCAATCATATAGTGATCTCTGTATTTTGTTCACTGCCTTTGGTTTTTTTTAAATTTCCCCAAGATCTCAAAATGGAGCACATGAATATAATCCTTGAACTGATCTTTGCATCAGACTGACACTAATGTTGAAACTCTGGCTATTCCTAGTTATAATTGCTCCTTGAAGGTTAATACTAAGAATGTTTGCATAAATGATTGGGCCATATCTTTAAATGGTGCTTACTTCCAGGTAAAGGTAGTTGAAGGAAGGAGTGAGCATTGCAATCCCAGTTGAATAAGATTTCACAAGAAGCCAGATTTTCTCTTTTCGTTCTTTTATGCTAAATATTTATATTCAGAATAAACAATAATCTGCATTGATCTATAGGATGGCCTCAGGACATCAATATTTCCATATCTTTAGGTCTTTAGTTTTACATGTGTTCATTTTTAAAAAAATCTAATTTTTAAAACTTCCCTGAGCTCTAATTTTGGGACTGAGGGGAAAAATAAAATACTGCTGGTGTCAGTGTAAATGCTGCAATTATTTATTATTGTTTTAGGCATTCAAGGTACCTGAAAGCAATTTTCTCACTGATTTTGGTGTTATTTATAGGCAACTATTTTAGCAGAACTCGTTTATAAATTCTCCTTTTTAAAAACAATCCATCCTTGCCTATTTCTTAGTTGAGACCGTGCATCTGAGTATATTTACTTGTGAGCCAGTCACACTGAATCAAAATATATTAGATTTATGAGAGAATAATGTTTGGGAATGGAATCCAAAGTAAAGCACTGGATCGCACCTCTCCCTCTTGTCCACCTCTTCCTTTTGAAAGAGTTATAAATGCTGGAGAAACATAATCTTTCTTTCTGAAAGAATATTTTTTACATGGCCCAGCTTTTCATCCTTGTTTATACAAAGGTTTTATAAGCGATTTCATATTTTTCACCACCTGTAATTATATGCAATGATTCAGTGACCAAAGTAAATTGTCGTAAATGGATAAACGGAATGGGGTGGGGGGAAAGTAAATTACCTTTGGCCTCGCTGCCAAGCTATTCAAGGGAAAGGTCATGGAACACTGACAAATTCTGATGTGGTTAGTGAAACATTTCAAATGCAAAATGTTGGTTCATCATAAACACCCTACAGATATTCTGAAGAGCACTAATTTATCCTCAGAGACCACTGAATAAGGAACTGGTTGCCTACCGATTCCCAGGGCTTGTAGAAATGAGTGGGAATTTTTTTTAATGTGCCTGTATTGTAATACGTAGTCTTGTCATTGTTATAAATTGTATGTGGAAGTGATTTATTTTGTACAACTAAATTAATTTATTTTTTTTAAATTTTTAGATATCATTCCATTCCCACACCCCCTTTTTCTTTTTATAGCATACAGAACACACCAAAGAAGACTGTTATACTTTTGGTGAAAGCTGTCTATAATTCTGTGGTTTGTTTCGGAGGAAACCTCACCCTATTTTTCAAGTTACTTGAATGAATAATGTAATGTGAAAACAGATGCTTTCTGCATGTCTGCTGTGCAGTGTGTTGATGTTCAGTAGTTTATAGATATATACTTGTTTTTTAGTCCAGTGCATGGTGCTGTCCATCTGAAAGTTTTTAAATGCCCTCATCATATTGTTATACAAAGGAAAGGACATTTTAATATCTATACCCATAAGTATATAAAGGGAACTTGAATACAAACCACTTTTAAACTTATGTTTGCTTGTTTTCCATTTCTTTATTTGGAATCCATTCAGATACTAAGAAAAATACAATGGAAAAGGCCTGGACTTTCACAAGGTAATTTAAGTTTTGCCAGTCTTTATTTTGGGGAAAAAATGTCTTGCTGATTTTAAATGCGTTATTTTTAATTTATACATTTTATTTTCTTGTCCTCCTTTTGGAAAGAAAAATTGCACTATTACCAGCCCTCGTGTTTTGCTTAATGTGAAACTTAACATCTTTAGAGGTACACAATTACTAGGAAGAAGATACTTCGTTCTAATGGACTTACTTCCAAATAATTGAGGTTATCATTGGGGCTGTAGTATTCTTTCTTTTTTGTTCCATGGCTTTCTCACAATTTTTAAAAAAATAACACATAGTACCTCCTTCACATCTGTTAACCTGATCATACATAAGTAAAAAAAAAAGTTTAAGTGAAATAAAAATATTCTTCTTATATCTTACATCTGTGCTTTATTGTTGGAAGAGAGATGAAGAGGGCAGATGATAACATGACCTGCTCTTCAATATTTTTCCCACCTTGGATGAAAAAGTAAGAACAAATATGAAATAGGATTAAAGCCTAACCTTTCAAACTGCATTCTAAGCAAATAATGAGTGAAAAATCTGGTTTGGGCAACATACACCACGAGCTATTTGAAATGTTGCAGTACGTTTCCATTTAACTATAGTGGGATCATAAACAATGGGAGATCACTCTTAGAGATTCTTGGAGAGGTTTGGGGACTGGTTAAGGTTTTATCTTGAGGAAAGAGGAAGGGTTGGCTAGAATTTACCTATCTCCCTTTCCCTACAATTTGCCTTACACAAATAGGCTTCTCCCAACTTATTTCCTAAGGATGCCTGATGGAATGTATCACTGTAATTCTCGGGGTGGTGGTGGTGGTCGTTTTTTCAGCCACAAGGAATGGCCGAAATTAAAAGAGGTTTGCAAATAAGATTTCATGGATTATTATTATTTTTTTTAGAAAGGGGTGGTGGTGATAAAGGTGGGGAAAACATGAACTGGCGTACTGGGTGAGGCTGCAGTTGAGAGGAAAGAGGACTTGAAAAGGAGGATAGGGCAAAGTCCCCTCACTCCCCCCCCAATCATTTATGGGAAATATATCAGAGATGAAAGGTATCTGACAATATGGAGGCTAAAACAAGTTTTCTCCCGCTTGCTTTCTGCTGGGGGGACGCCCCTCCTCTCGTCTCCCCCATCCCAGTCTATAGAGTTGAAATTGACTACAGCTCATCGCGCCCCACTTCAAAGTAAATCTGGTCGGAGCGGAAGGCTCGGTGCTTGGACAATGTTCATGGTGGGTTAAGCTTTCTATGGCGATTGGCGAGCCATGCTTTTCCCATTTGAATATGGCTTAGACAAAAGGCACTTATTGACAAGGAACTGGCTACCTTCAAAGCCCTCGCCTCTTGTCGGCGGGGGAGAAGCGGTGGCTCGCTCGCTCGCACACAAACCAACCTTTAAATTAGCCGCGATCCACTTTATCTTTAGACCGGCGGTGGAGGGGAAAAGAAGGCACGCGGGGCGGGGGGTGGGGAGAGAAGTGAGCCTCGCGCCCGTTGCCAGGCCCAGAGTTGGTTTTGTTTTTGTTTGGTGGGTCTTCCAGCCTTTCATCAGCACAATTTATGCCTTCGGTAACAGTGGTGCTGGGTGGCGGGAGAGAGATTGAAAGGGGAGAGGGGGGAGGAAGGGAATGAGAAAAAGAAG